TCATTATAAGCATTCTTGCTGTTACCAGAATATCCACAACCAAAAAAGACATATATTTAAAAACAAATATGTTTGTCACTTATTTATTTTAAAATGCCAAAACGTCTCTGATGATGTTAACTCTTGACCAAAATGGCAATCTGAATAATCTAGCATAAAAAGATAATCTATTTGGCAGGTGCAACAGCAACTATCTTTTGAACTTGTGCAACTATAGCTGAATTTATTATTCATCATCTTTTATACAATTCATTTCTGTTGCATATATAAATGTATTTCTATTGCATTTATTATAGCCTAACTGCATCACTTCAAACTATCCATTGGCTGAATTTTGCACACAATCATGCTTCAATGCATTGTAATTATATTTGCAACATGTCTTTCCTTCAACGTATGTGCTGCTTAATCAGCTAATTTTCACATGAAACCATCAATTCTTACTCCTAAATCACCATAAAGCAGAAATTAAACATCTAAAATAGATGAGATCTGAGAAGCCAAGAATTTTTCATATCAGTTCCTGCAAACTTGGATTCTACTAAAGGCAAAGCATATTCTACCCCCACTGAAGCCAAAGTTGAGATTAATCAGTGTCTCGATAGAAACATATTCAACAGTGTTGAATTTGTTTACATTTATTATTCTTTTTGTTTATATTGATAAAATAAATAAAACTAAAAAAAAAAGCAAACTAGTTTGCAAAACAAACTAAAATCACCCTTACCCAGTAAGCATGGTATAAAGTAGAACACCAAGGCTCCATATGTCACATGCAGCATCATAGCCCTGCCTCTTTAAAACCTGAGGGAGACAAATATTTTTTCTGAAAAAAAAAACCCACTTAGAAATGCTTTGACTATGGCATAAAAATAGCGAGATTTCAAATTTTTCGTGTTGACAAAGTGATTTCACTTGTTATGCAAGAATGAAACAAATATCTAACTAGCAAAAAAAATCCAGTAAAACAAATCAAGGCATATAAGCTATCCTCGTATTTACCTCTGGTGCAACAAAATTTGCTGTGTAACATGGAGTCATCAGAAGGCCATTTTCTGCTCGTAGTTGTTTTGCAAAGCCAAAATCACAAATTCGAATTGATTCTGGATTACCAGATTCATCAACATAAAGAATATTGCTAGGCTTCAAGTCCCTATGAACAACCTAAAAAAAACCAGAAAACAAACCACTAAATACAATAAGCTAAACATAGGAAAGGCTTTATATTATAATTATCAATTCTGCTACTTAATTTCACATCTCCCATCAGCAACCAGTTTCCAGATTTCCAGCTTCTAACATCAGCTGCAGTACTTTGATGCTCAGTGGTGTCTGAAGTGCTAAAATTCTAATTTGGAAACTCTAACTATAAAGGCCCCTCCAGGCATCTGACTATCCCCAAATTTATCTGTACAGATAGTTCCAGATGTCTTGCTCTAATGGGTGAATATATATATTTTCTCTTTTAACATGGATACCTACAAATCCGAACCTTTGCCTAGTAATATCTTTTGGAGTCATGGATGTCCAGAGCTGCTGATGCACCACTGTGCTATGTAACCACACACTAGTTACTGTTGGAGTAACCATCTATATTCCATCCTCTTCACTCAGATAACCTGAATTAATCTCAGCACAAACATTTAAGGCCTGATTAAGGAGGAATTGTAATACTGTTCTGCAAAAAAAAAAAAAGGTATTCTCCTAATGGACTAGCATGTCAAAAAAAGCCTGTAGTTATTCCCAAGAGGCTGTCTCGTACGGGCTTGAGATGCAAAATGTTTGACAAAAACTGTAGTGGCTACCAAAGTTCAAGCAGAATGAATCTTATCTTACTTGAAGCTATGTTATAAACAAGCCTCAATAAAACCTCGAATGCGCAAGTGCAGTCTTTGAAATCAGACGACCTGTTAGATTTTTTTCACAAGACAAATTAGAATAAAGTCTCTAGAGGCTTTGCTCTCTGTAAAAAAAAAGGGTATACACTGCCATAAAACAGTAGAGTGGATCTAAATGTCCTCTTTTAGATATTTAAATAGACCTGCTATGAAGGTCTTTATCTTCCTGATTGTCTTATGTATTTGATTAATATTAAATACAGCTCTTCGTGGTTAAATTTGAATGGAAGACTCATTTCTTCTTGAAGTGTTTCACCACAATCTTTTCCAAGAAGGTAATCACATTGGAATCAGAAGATACCCTAAAACTCCTGCAAGTAAATGATGTGCAGAATCAGAAGCTCTAGGCACTCTTCCAGAAAGCTAGTAGTGTTTCAGGAAAGTAATATAAAACCGAGAAGTAAAAGACTGCAAAGGGTCTGCAGATTGCAAAACCATTTAACACAGTAATCTGTTGAGTAGAGGCTTTTTCTGCATGCAAATACTTTGCAATTCTCAGATTTAACAAAATAAATAAAATTATGGAAATAGGTATCTTGTAAGCTGAAATATACAAAATGGTATTAAAGGATTTGTGCTGGAACAGTAGATGTTAAGGGGATCATCCAGGCCTGAGATGTCAGTGTAGGAGAGAACCGGCTCCTGGTAGCCCTCAGTTTTTGAAGTTCAGATAGCTAACAACCCTTCTTCTCCAAGTGATGAATGAAACAACCTTTACTGCTCCAAGAGGCAGACACCACCCTCCCACCCCCAGTTTTATTTCAGTTGGTGGTTTGGTTTTTTATTTAAATACATCTAAAAGGGGTAAAAAGGAAGAGGTGGGCAACGGAAGCAGCACAAAGCTGAGGATTTGGCAGACTGCTTCTAGACCAGTCTGCTCGAGTTGTACTTTTTTTTGGAAGAAGGGGAAGCAATTCTCAAGTGGGAGGAAGAGAAAGTGTAACAGTCTACTTAAAATCCAAACACTAATTCCTAAGTAATTGAGATGTTTATGTCAAAGAATAAAATACCTTCCTGTACTAAGCTGTTTTCCTAAAGGTCAATTTAAAAAAGATGTCAGATTGCTTAGATTACATCGATATTTTGCACAGAAATAACATTTTATTTTAGAGCAAAGGAAAAGAGCAAAACAATATGCAGGACATTTCAGTTCCTTATTTCTTAGCATCATGTTTTTGATTAGCATTCTCGATTATCTACCAGCATGCAGAAGTACTCTGCTCCAAGATGACATGATACTTCTTGTTTATCCTTTTTAGGATGTCTATTGTGCCAACCCTTAATTTTTGTACGCTGGTCCTAATACTTTTAGAATGGTTTGGGTGAGAGTTGGAAGTATTGCTTACCATGAAGAGGAGGATTTCATTCCTCGCTTAGCTAATTTTTCAGTTCAAAAGTATCCTATGAATGTCCAAGAGGAAAATCCTTCTGGGAAGAGTTGTCAAACCAAACATTACCTAACACGATATTCAAATGAGCTCCTCTGGTGTTGCCCTGGTTTCAGCTGGGATGGTTAGTTTTTCTTTTTAGTAGCTAGAATAGTGCTGTGTTTTGGATGTACTATGGGATTTGTTATGAGAAAAATGTTGATAGCACACGGATGTTTATAGTTGGTACTAAGACATCAAGGACCTTTCAGCTTCCCCTGTTTTGCCAGTGTGCAGGAACACAACAGCCTGGGGCAGAGTATAGCTGGGACAAAGGGCCCACAACTTCTAATTTATGACTTGAGTTTAGGTTTAGGATTGAGGCTGAAATTGACTAATGGAATATTCCATATCATGCAAGTCATGCCCAGTATATAGATAAGGGTTGACCAGGAAGTTGGAATCTCTCTCTCTCTCTTCTGGGGGTCTTGCACGGACTCTCGGTGTTCTCGCTTTCACTCTCTTTTCAGACCTCTCACTTGTCTGGGATTGAGGTGTCAGGATTTATCTGTTTCAAGATCACTTGCTGGGACAGGACAGGTGTTGGTCACGGGGTGGTGAGCAATTATACTGTCCATCACTCATTTGTATATATTATTATAATTT